ACTAGACTAATGATTGATGATTGTTTCGATCATAAATCAACATTAATATTGATAGGAAGAGACATAGGTCAGGCATTAATTCTCAATCAAATCAAGTAACGTCCATAATCTTACATATCTGATAAGTTGATTAAGGAACGTATAGTCTAAATTAATTATTCCGAAAAGTTTCATTTCTCTACTAATAAAGTTATAATATTATTATCATCACTGTTCAAGAAGAGCGTTTAACCCGTAACAATAAACGAACATACAATGGTGTACATAAAAATTCACACAATATAAATATTCAAAAACAACACAGGAAACTATCTTATCTACGACCTTGTATCGCCTCGTCGATTGTTGGTTAATTGTTATTTTATTTACGAGGCTACGTTAAATGACATTGCTTAATTCAAGATCGTAACGTCAAAACTGAGTATCACTAAATTACACTGCACTGATTTATCGTGGCATTGCTACATAATAATAACTCCCATAGCAAGGTGGCGCGGACAGGGAACCCTCCCTTAAATGCTGTAATATATATGTAATTAAAATCCATTACGGACAAACATCTTAGTCAAGATATAAAGCAAATGTTCAAAAATTCAGTAGCCATTTAAAATTTTTTTGGAACAAATTACTACATTCCACACAAATAAGGATATTATATGCACGGAAGAACACGGAAGAATATCCACGTAAATAAAGCCTTTTAAAAATAGTTGCAGAAACTAATAAATATTTTTTATCAAAGTAATCTCGCAAAACAAGGTAGTTTTTGGTTATTTCATAACGACCACTTTAGGCTAGATTTTGTTATAAGATTATTTAGATATAATATCATTTGAACGTTAAATTAAGCTTAATTTTTTCGAAAAAAAAAACGAATCGCTTTTGAATAAATTAAAAATATACACAAAATTAGTACTATACCATCTCCGTGTAGTGGTCAGCGGTATAAGAATATCCATTCCGTCCCATATCGTCCCGTGGGTGTCGTAAGAAGCGACAGAGAACAAAAAACCAGAATATTGGCAGTAGTGTCTTCCTAATAACAACTAAAAACTTTGGCAAACATCCCTGAAATTAAGACAAATTATGAGACAATCTATGAGAAGACCTATATATAGGAAGGTATATTCAACGGTGGACTTAGATAAGCTGTATTGATTGATTAATAGTACTATATTTATAATTATTCTAAAAAAGTGATAATTAGTATATTGCAGGTATCATACTCAACACGCAGATAATTCTAAACATAAACTTACCACAAAGGAACCCCAAACGCCACAAAAACTTGCATATCTCTTTGAATATATTTTATCTTGCCGCAACTTTGATCTTCAATCTTATTATTAAGTAATATAGAAATCATTTTCAATAGACAAGGACGGGAAATACCTTCTTATAAAATGGTGATATCTCACAATACCAAGGCACGATTTAAGATAATAAAACCCTATAATAGATTTGCTCTTGTGGTTATTCGTTAACAAAAAACGGGAACCTACCGACTTCTGGATGTACATACGAAGTGTTTTCATACCCCCGAAACAATTTATTACAAATGCAAAGATAATTTTCGTGTTTATTTCTTTACTTATTTTCTTAATAGTTTTCTGTATATTTTATAATTAACGTAAATATTTTTGTGACTTAATATTAGATCCATACTATTCTCATGTGTTGAAAGATATTTTATCCCCCGTAGAGATTTCTGTCGGACATTGCCGCAACGAAGCCATGTTACGTAGCTCGTATGTCTGTGTGATGTTAACGCACGTGGTTGAGTGTGTGTTTGTACCTCTCTACAGACTCCATGTGATGGGAAGTGAACCCTTTATGTGGGGGAAACCGTTTTTTATTTGCGCTTGGACAGCGGCAACAGGTAGAAAGGATGATCGTTAATTTTTAAAGGACACACTGAACTTTGTGTTTTTTACAAGCGGTCACTAGGTATTTTTAGTGAGATATCTTTTTAATAAAAGCCAAGCATGCGTTTTTCATTAGCAATGTTAATGTAAAATATATTGTGAAAAAATATGCCTCGTCATTATTTCATTTTTCACCATAAGACATTAATTTTGATATTATGACGTCACCCATCATGCAGCTCGCTACGGGAATCAAGTGAGAACCCGTTGATGTCTTTTGCTAACAGCTTTGATGTCTCCTGCTTTTACGAGTTTATTGACCCCATAAGCAGCAATTTTTTGGCATTATTAATATTAGCTTGTTATATATTATTCAGCTCATAAATACTTTACACTAATATCAAGTATTTCATTATATCGTTACTACTAAGTATATAATAATAATAAATACTCAACTATTAAATTTTGTATTTCTTTTCTTTTTCTCTTTGGAAGTAAAATGTCTTCGAATTGAAACAGTGAAAATACAAAAAGTAAATTTTCGAAATGTATTTCCATGGAGCTATAAACTTTATATACATAGTATGTGAAATCTGGCAAGAATTTAGCAAAGTGGAAGCCGCCAGATAAAAAGTGCACATGACTGTTATGATTCTCAAAAAACTGTTTACTGGCCAAATAATTACATTAAATAATGATTGGGGGCGAGAAGGCAAGCGATGGTAAGCTCATCTCGAGGACTCGCCGCAACGAGTGCGAGGCAATAAAATAAGACTGCGCCGGGGCGGGGGTGGGCGGTGGAGGAGGGGAGCAAGGCGCAGGCTGTCGCCTTACGAAGACGCTAAAAGTTAAAAGCGGTAGCGAGTAGGAATACTAAAACAATTAAATAAATATGTAAAATACAAAAATGAATTGATTCAAGCCATATAAATTTAAAGTAAACCCCCACAGAATTTAGGACATTTGTTCTGAATTCTGTGGGGGTTGATTTCAACATGAAATATTTCATAGTACTGAATTTGTGATTTGGTGAAAATATGTTGGTTAGGTTTGTTTATGACAACTCTGTAGGGCTAATAACTATGCTTAACAATTGTGACGATATTAATAACTATTTATTTACTGCTAAATAGGTCATGAACTAACTTGTTTATATTACGTATTATGTCAATTAGTAAGTTTTGAAGATCTTTTCACAGCGTACATTCTAAAAGCACGATTAATTTATATTTTTGAAGTGAAACGCTAGTCTTTCAAAACATATACCGCGTTGCAACAAAAAGTCATCATTAAAGTCTTGGAGGCGCGGCGGGTGAAGCCGCGCAGCCTCTCGCCCGCGACCTAAACGATTCAGCCGAGTTTTTATCACTGGACTGGTAGGTACCAAAGCCATATTAAGTTTATTTATTTATTTTTACTTGTTTTTCATTATTTTTATGTCCGTATGTGATTTTTTATCAACACCTTGTACAGAGAAGTTTAAATAAAATAAACAATCACTTTACTAAAAACCACCTTATTAATTTAATTTAATAATTAAACAATATTTAATAAGTAACAAATACAATTCAAATCAACCATAAATATGAACGTTTTTTTTTCTAAACATAGCATTACATTTAGCTTTGCTTATTCGGCATAGCGTTGGCTCTTTAAATAACTATAAACCAGTAAGCAAGCCAATCTTAACTTTTCATTACGTAGTCGTCGCAGATATCAAGCTTAGATGTATTATGAATGACATACACGTGACGTGTTTTTGCAGCGTTTACGTTCAATGGCTTTAAACTATTATGTTAAACTTTAATATAGGCAAGCAGACAAGTACGCGACGTCGTGAGTAACACATAGCTGCGCTGAATATAGTTCTTGTCGTTTGCCGTAAATTCCTAAAAATAGCATATTTTGTTAGAATATCCTTGCTTTGAGCTTTTGGTTTAGGGCACACTAGTACTTCTAATAATTTGTGAAGATAAGAAATAAAGAAAACATTTACATTGAGAGCGACATAGTATTATACTACCCTATTTACTTTGAATGTCAAACGCAATGCAGTAAAAAAAATATACAACTAGGCAAATTTCTCGAGCTATTTGAACGACCTAATATTATTTCAAAACGGGGCAGGGAATTGTAAGACATCATAATTGTATTAGCGATTTCAACAGAAGAAGCAAGCATTGTAAGTCCTGTAACTGCAACGATCTTAAGGTACATTACTATTTTCTATTACACGAATATGCTTCTTCTACGTTATTATTATTATTGTTGTTATTAATACATATTAAGACCATGCGATAAGATAAGAAATTATAAAGTAATAATATTTTAAAACAAAGTTTTACAAAACCAGATTTAAAGAATTAAGTTCGTTCAACCATGAATATCACAATTATATGAAGTTTGAGCATATTTATTGGTAGAACATCACAGCATCGAGTGTGATCGGCCGACGAGGCGCGGACGCTCTCGCGGCAAGTTCAAGGTGAGCACGTCGCTCCGCCCACACGCTCGAGCCGCTCCTAAGGCACAACCGTTACTCTGGACCTCCGACACGAGCACCTCGTTCTCAAAACTATACACACCACTCACTTGCACAAACAACCGATTGTTTCCAACAATGCAAACTATTCCGAGAAGGTGCCAACATACCAACAAATTAATACTCGCATGTGATTAAGTGACTGACTAGACGTTTCATCATTGTAACGCTAAGCACATACCATTTGCGCATTACGCACTATTACGGACTAAATAGTTAAACGTACCATCGTACATCTTACAGCAAACAACAAATGATGTGCTCGACTTCGTCTGTTGTAATTCAAACTTCCGTAAGGACGTTGCGGTTGCTACGCAAATTTTCAACGTGAATTAAAAAAAAATCTAAATGGAAATTCCAGTCATAAAATCTATGAATACCTGATATTATAATTTTTTTGTCATGATATTGTAATAAATTATGCGGAGGCGATAAACTTAAAGGCGTTTTAATAGCGTACGGTCAGATTTTTGATAGGCTGATTTCGAAATTATCATTTTGAGTTTGGTATCAGTTCACGGCGCTAACAGTTATTATATCTCAAATAAGAAACGAAAACTGAAGTTGTTCATTATATATAAGTTGTTATTTACCTGGGTATTGTGATAACTTGTCCCAATTCATCGACAACATGATCTGCTAGAACAAGGACGGTGCCTTGTCCAGGAGGACCCACTACTACGGACACGCCGCCGTCAACGAGTTGTCCACCACCACCCACCAGCTGACCATCCTCTAGTTGGCCACTTATCATCTCTACTCGCTTCTGGTCTGGTGTTGTTGTATATATAACGGTCTGCTTGTCGTCTTCGTAAATGAGATCAATGGGGGTCTTTTCGTCTATGGAATCCATTCCCTGATCGTAAACATCGGGTTGAACGGGCACTTTGTTGTCAGGGGCATAAGCGGCGAGCTCATGGGGTGAGTGGCGGTATGAGTGTGCTTCGGGAGGGTAGCCATCGTCAGAGTCCATCTCGACCTTATGTGGGTAGTAATCATGTGCGGGTTGTACTGGCGTCATGGTGGCGAGAACTGTGTGCGCAGGTGCGGGTGAGCGTGGCGCTGACGCAGGAGATGCAGCGCGCGGACTGCGTACAGGCTGTGGCGATGCCATGGTATTGGGCCGCCAGGGACCGCCCCGCTCCACACGAGACGATCCCAATATACGTTTCTGAAATATATTCCCTTTTTCAATTACACGACCAGATCATTATAAAAATTAATGAAATTATCTGGTACCATGACGTGCTCGTTTGGTTTTTTAAAGTGTTTCATCGAAAATAAGAACATGTAGTCAACTTTCGCTAGTAAATGTTTAAAATGCTGCTCTAAAACAGCTTTCCTAGCAATTTTATATAGAAGTAGTATTTTACACAAGATCCAACTAAGTTGCGTACAATAAAGAAACAGCTGACTGGAGTCCAGTTAGAAGAACAAGTATCAAGTAGCACCTGATCGCTGAGAAGCGCCCGAACTTGTTCAGGAGCTGCTCTGGCCGGCACACAGCAAAGCACCTCAGAACGGTACAAACTGGAAACGACTATTACAAACACGTGCTTGTCGAACCCGTCACTGTGCAATAACCAAAATAAACTATATTCGATATGTTCAAATTTCACATTCCATTATAAGAAGATAGACAATACGAAAACACTTCTAGCATTCATACAATTACAAACAAACAATCAAATGAATTTGTCATGGTATTGTGGTATATTATTTCAAGTGAAGTTATTGTCAAGAATATATATCCTTCCTCTTTCACGTTTTTAATACACAAAGCTAAAATCATGTTATAAATTACAAAAGCATTCACAGAAGGCAATTGCTACAGAGGCTGCTTCTTACTAGACAATATAACAAGGACGGAAACCTTGATTATCCCATTCTACTACGCAAGTATGAAAAAGATAGTTGCTGTTGGCCAGTTTATATACTAAACTGTCTTTAGTATTGCGAAAGATTGATTTAAACTCATAGTTTGAGAAAAAAGTTTTTCAAAACTTCTTAGTAGAATCATACTCACAAGTTTTGCAAATTAAAGCTAACCCATTATTACTTTATTACATTAACAATAATAATATTCCGATTGCCCGAGTTCCTTTCTCCTTCATAACCATAACATGAAAATTCTCTATATCTAATTTAATGAAATCGAATTTCTTATACGATTCCATTTAAAATATTCTGTTGAGTTCGTATTAATAATAACAAACGCCTCATGCTCGCGAGTGCTACAACCTCGCCGCAGGCAAGAGGAAAAATAAAAGTTTAAAAAGGCTTCGCCGCGAAGCTGGGATGTCGAAGTATACACTCGCACACATCGACAAATGAAGCTCGCCGAACACTGCGACACGACAGGGAATAAGTGCATGTAATTTACTCACACAGAAAACATTTGCGCCGCGCGCTAACTATTTTTATTCTCTCAGGAGTACGATACGAATTCGTTTCTTAAAATAAATCGCATCAAACACATTATCAACACTCTCGTTTGCAGAGATAACAAAAGGGACTGTGAAGTCAAACAAAAGAGTACCACGACACTATCGGATCTTTACCGGGCGACATCGCAGATGACGCTTCGCGAGCGTCACACTATCGTTATCACTTGTGAGTAGAGAAGACAAACGAGCACGTCATTGCACAGGTACTAAGGTCGGGGGCGGCGGCAGCGGGCGTCCTGGCACAGGCCATCACGCACGCGCGTCAAACTAGTCTCGTGACGTCACGGCCCGCCCGGCGAAATTACAAAACCGGCCGGGCGGCTGTACTGGGCGCGCCAGCAAGCGGCGCTGTGGCGCAGCGCAGTGACGAACGCGCTGCCGCCCGACCCCGACGCGCCACCGGCGCCTCACGTACCGTGGGCGGCGTCACGACGCTGCTGTGGCGCAACTAGGCGCAACGCGGCGCGGGCGCGGGGACTCGAGCACACGACGAGCGGCGCTTCGGAGCGCGGGCGCAGGTGCTCTGAGCGCGGCAGCCTCCGCGCGCCGGCGCCGCCGCCTCCCGCGCCCCGCGCCGCGCTCTCGCACGCACCAAAACGACGAATTTATCTTCCGCGCATGCTGGCCCTCCTGCCCGAGGACGTTGCCCAGGGTGTCTCAGCGCCTCTCGATACCTTTAAAAACGACCTTCCCGATACAACGCATAGTGATATTTAAAATCGAACAAAAAATTTGAACGGACAAAAATTTATCCGTGAATCTTATTCATCATATTATTATCGTTAATTTTAAATAAAGTTGTGGAAGGAAGAGTTTGGAATCGTTTCATCGGACTGTACACGACTAACAAACTACCGGTCCTCGTGGCGCCGGAGGCGAAAATTTCGGTTTCCATCTCACCGGTTGCCGATCCGCCGCTGTCGATCTTAACAGCCATTACAAAATATGAAGCTTGTACTTACGCAACAACTGTTTCTACATTTCAATACAAAATGAGAAATTATGGAGTGATTTTACAATAATAGATAATGAAACTAAATGATTAAAATTGAATAACTTCACCAACTATGTGGTAGAACATCTTTTCTGCCTATTAGGAGTACGTCCGGGTAGGTACCTGCCTATTAATTTTATTTGCCGCCACGTAGTGCGTGCAGCGTGCAATGCTATGTCCAGTCTGAGGGATATATCCCTAGAGAGCCATTTAAATTACAGGCTTGTCTTGACATGTCTCACATTTCATCTTAGTCCACAGAAGTGACAACACATCAATAGCCTTCTTTGAAGTTGGTTGCAGGTTTCTATGGGCCTTCAGGTGGACTATAAATTCCTTTGTCACTTCAGTTAAAAAGGCCAGTTTTACAAATTTCATCAGATTCATCACAGCCTAGAAAAAAGTAAGCTGAACATAGGTCTCCCCCATTGACTGCCTAGTATTGCCATAATTGCTAAGGTTGGTAGCCGGGTTAACAACCGCAGTTTTAATTATTTTGAGTAGTTATCAAAAAGATGCTGCCGCCCATCTCCTGATTCATTTAATTTCCCTGTGTTAACTTTTACGACATCCACGGGATGATATGGGATATATTCTTATAGTACTAACTACAACTAATGAGGTATAAGGATTTGAGGTCTCACCCCCCATGCCCATGGCAACTGCAAAGCAACCGAAACGTTTATAAGAAGTTACATAAGTGTATTAAATCCGTACATACATACATACAGACATACATATAATCATGCCTCTTTCCCGTAGGGGTAGGCAGAGACCACTTCTTTCCACTTGCTATCCTTCCATACTTGTTTCGCTTCGTCCACTTTCATTATTCCCTTCATACATGGGACACTCATCCCAATTTACCTGTCCGGTAGTTGTGGTGTAGTATATGGGTATGCGACCCCGGCTTCCCTAGCTATTATTTTCCTATACCTTGCCCTCCTGGGCGGTAATATCCTACATTTCCTATTTCCCACTCAAACTTACCAGTCTTCCTTTACACACCACCTATCCTTCCCTTTCTCTATTCTTACCCTCTCCGCCAATCGAACGTCTGCCGGAGAGATGCATGGCTAGAGGCAAGCCTAGTCGTTAGCGCGCCACACTGCCCTGGGACCGGGCGACCCCAGAATTAGGCCAGCCTTGCCCTGGCATGCGGGGCTCTGCTGGGGCGGGGGGACAAACCTTTCCCTCGCTATTCGTGGATACGCATTGGATAATCGTAAAAATCGTAAATCCGTATAATTAGTTTTATTCAATGTGCAGTAACCGTACAAATATAAGGAATCATTAGATTGACAATGTACTTTGCAGCCGTGTAAATAAACAAATTAGCGCTTAAAATAAAAATTCATATATTCACTACGAAGAATCTTGCCGTTAATTAATAATTATTACACCCATAATAATCACACAGAAACAAAAAAAAATGTACCAAAACCGCAAATGACTTTCAATTTCTAACAATGATAAATTAAGATAATATAATAGCAAATTAATTTATAAAGCCCTCCAAGTTAAAATTCAAATAGCTAATTTTTAAATTAATATGCATAGGCAGGTACGAGTATTGTAAATTACGCCAGTATATTCTATGTTCTAAATCGGTACTAAACGAATTTTGATAAAGTATTATCTATTTTAATTTTTTTTGTAAACGAAGAGATTTAACAACGTTTTTGACGTCATTTGGTACATAATATTTTATTCAAATATTTTATTTATAAATTTTGTAATACGATACAGGTACACTCTTTAATATAGGACTCGTTTGCTAAATATATCTAAGAAAACTTATAAGGCATTAAGGTTGATTAATTAATCAATTTTTTTATTTAATAACTCCATAAGGTTCATTATGTTTTATTATAGTTTTACTATAGTCCTCTATAAAGTGTTATTATACACTATATATATGTATGTATAGAAGATAGAAATAAGAGCAGTTGCCCTTATTAACTACCACAACGCGTTGTACCAAAATTACCAACTTACATGCAAAAATAGTAGCTGTTATAATATAAGCTTGCTGTATTCAACCTTAAATGGGTGCCAAATTAAAGTTCGAGATATCTACATTATAAAAAGACCAAGTAACACCTTATGAGCCCGAACAGTCCAATGCTGAATCCATGTCCATCCTATAATAGATATGATATTATTTCATAGTAAAAGTTATAAAGGAAAAATGTATTCATAACGTATGCCATTTTTAAGTGGTTATCTTTTTTATAGTATATGGGTGACAAACAAGCACATAGTCCACCTGATGGTAAGTGGCTGCTGTGGCCCATAGACATCTACATCTATCCACGTTTCCGAATCAAAATGCAGATGCGTTGTCACCCGTGAGGACTAAGATGGAATGCCTCGTTTCCAGTAAAAAGGGTCTCCGGTTATCTACACTCACTATACGAAACACAGCAGCATTAAGTTGCTATTTTACGCTGGTATTCTGTGAGAGCGTGGTCCTTCCCCGGTCGAGCCAACCCATTCGATACAACTATACTATTAAAATAGCGGCAGCATGGCTCTACCACGTATAATATATGTATCTAGTGTAATACCTATCTAATATACTTATTAAGCTTTTAAATATGTTATAAATTTAAATAATAAACTTACATGCAGTTCATCAAGAGGCCACTATATGGAAATTTATAACCGACT